CTTTGTGTCCGTCCTTCATCTTCATACTTCTGTTCATTTCATTTCTGATCTTCATATCGTCTGTTCTCTTAATGATGCTCATTCGTATGTATTTGTTAGTRGTACAAAGGGAGTGGAGGGGGCGGTGGAGGGTAAGGGATAGAAGGCAGAGTTCTATAGGAGTATGGGCCAGGGGAGGTAGGGGCAACGRGAAGGAAAGAAATATGTGGAGGGCAGGATAGAGTATGACATGCAAAGAGCAGAAGAGAGGTGTATAACAGGCTTCACAGATTTCTAAATATTCACCGCTGAAACAGACTACTCTAGCAAAAAAACCTATGGCGAGTGGCCACCCTTACAGACCGGACAGGACCAGTTCGGGTGTGGGCTATGGAAGCACCGCATCCAATTTCCGCAGTCACAGTTGCTGCATTGAATGGCACTCCCCAGACAGATGTCACAGGCTACGTGACTCGTACATCTTAGGAGCACAGAGGCACGTCGACCGCAATCATAGAGGCATTGTCGTTTGGGGTGCCTTACATGAGTACAGTACTGACTGTCATCGTATGTATGGAAGCAAAAACTCGCATCGACTATCCGTTCATTATCCTCACGGCACAAGGCATGCGAACCACATGCTAGTTGAATTCTCCGGTGGGTCATCACAAATCGGCATGGAGCATCTTTCTTGGGCTTCCTCAGTACGTATTCCTTCCCTATGGGCAGACGACGACAGGGAGGATCGGTCCAACACAAGGGCGTTCAGCTGCTGCAGGATATGATCTGCAACAGCTCGCCTTGGTGGTGATAAACTATGAGCACGTCGCTCTGCCGGTGGTTCATATGAAGTTTATTTTCCTCCTCGGACTGCTGTGTTCGTCGTTCGTCTGGCAAGGAGGGAGATCCGTCAGCGGTTGCCGTAGGTGTATGACCAACACCGCATGTGGGACATGCTAGGAGAGGATGTGGAGGGTGATGGCACCGGGGATAGTCCACGCAGCAAAGACACATACTTTCTATGACAGCTTCCTGGAAGCATTGACGACACATGACATGTTGCTGACATNCACCGGGGATAGTCCACGCAGCAAAGACACATACTTTCTATGACAGCTTCCTGGAAGCATTGACGACACATGACATGTTGCTGACATGTCATTAGTATGGAAGGCTGACGTGCACAGTTGTTTAAGCATGGCAGATCAAGGCCACAACGGCATGCTGGGCAAGTAATCAGGGGGTGGAGGGGATGAGCACAGGACAGAATCACAATTTTCGTGTGAGAGGCTAGCACCGACCATCCCTTCATAGTATTCGGAGCATAGGCTTTGTCGTGTACATGCCAACCGAACTGCACCTGTGCGACGACACAATGGGAGGGCACAGCCATCATCCTGTGGAGAGGTCCTTTCACTGTTTGTGGTAGAATCAGCTGGATTGCTCTCCGGGGGGCGCAGTGCTTGCAAATGCTCATCGACATACTGTTCCTGATGGACAAGCCAGACTGAGTGACCCTCCAGCATTTGGTGATAGAAAAGAGTTAATATTTCCCACTGTGTGCACCCTACCGCCATTGTCCCATAGGGTCCATGAATTATCTGCAAAGGTAAGAGCAGTGAAGTGACCTGGACGATATAAGATACATGCCCAAATATTCGGATCCGTGCCTGGCTCGTGGTTTTGCGGAGCAGGCTGGAATTGCAGTCATCTACCCATAAATGCCATAGCCAGGACTTCTATGTTCTCCCCAGGCGCAGCACTGTCGTCCTGTGGGCAGACGGCTCGGTGCTCTTCTTCTATCCAGCGAACAACGTCTGCAAAATCAGCAACAGTATAAGGATAGCAACTGTAATCAAGGAGACATACATAAATGGCATAGTACGCACAGCGCCCTTGCTATAGCCCTATGACATTGTCTTATTCCGCAGGTTGCGTGGGGGATCCGTTTGCGGCAGGGGGATCCTGGTTCGATTCTGCAGGTTGCACAGGTGGCGGAGACTCGTGGTCTTGACCAATTGGCTCCGGTATGTGCTCCTGAGAGAGATGATCTTCAACCGGGGGCTCCATCAGATAATCAGGAGACCGGTCATTGTCATTTGGGGCAGGGGAGCGAGTGGGGCTAGGTGGATGAGAGAGGCCTGCAGCACTGAAGAAACCATCACCACATTGCGGGCATCGGACTCTATGTGCCCTATTCCTCGTTAGTGTATACTGAAAACGACGTTGTCGTTCCATACGGTTGCGAGAATGTCGTCGGAGCAGATCTCTAACCCCTGCAGAGGCCGCTGTCTTGGAGGCTGTTGTGGAGACGGGGAACGTCTCCGCCGAAGAGGCATCTGAACGATCAATCTAACAAAGGAGTGCATTGATGATGACGTCAGGGCCTTTGTGACGGCCGATCTGACCATGAGTGCGTTGATGATGAGGAAGTAGAGAAAGAAGTAGGGAAAGAGGAAGAAGAAGATGATGGAGATGACTGAGAGCATGCTGCAACAGAGGACGTTGGTGGGGGTGGTGCTGATGATGGTGGTGGTGGTGCTGATAATGATGGCAGTGGTGGCGGTGGTGGGGGTGG